TCTTGAATCGGGTGCAACCGCAACAAATAAAAACATGAACAAGAAAAACATCTTAAAGTGATTATGTGTCACTGTGCAAAACAGAAAATACAGGAAAAAAACATCAAAATATTCCTGAAATAGCACCGTACACCAACGCTGTGTGCAAAAATCCCAGTGGGATGCAAGTCAAATAACAACAACAACAAGACAACTAAGATTAAGGCCATCAGTCTAACTCCGTACTACAATAAACAAAAACATGGCCAAAACAAAAAAAAACTTTTCGAAATCACCAAAATAAAAGCCATAAATGCAATGTAACAGTGATCATAGGGACTGTGACCGAATTTTTAACAATAAACTACATCAATAAATTATAACACCAAAATCTAGAGCCATATTTTAGGCCACTGAATAGCAGTGGCAGCTAGGGTTGTACAACTCCTCTAGAGCAGTTTTGAGTGAAGATCTCATAGGTAGTGATTCAAGTTGCAGTTTATTGGCAATAGCATTCCAGACCCTGGGGGCATCAATAGCAAAGGCCCTTCCTCCAGTTTTTTTACGGCAATAGGGAATGTGAAGCTGGTAAATGAGCGAAGACCTGAGGTCAAATTTGTTCTTTGAAACAGAGAGGAGATCCAGTAGGTAGTCTGCGGAATTGTTTGTAAGTACATCGTGAATAAATAAGATCTGGTGCACAAGCCGTCGAACATTAAGAGATGTTAAGTTTGACCCAATGTAGAGATCACAGTGGTGAGTCCTATATGGGCAGTTCAATGCAAATCTTAAGGCCGAGTGATAGATGGAATCAAGCTTCTTCAGTACAGTACTTGGGGCTGATTTATACACCCAGTTCGGCGGACGGACGGACGGATTCTCCGGCAGTGGCGTCACCGCGGCGCTCGTGCCAGGCTAGGTGCACCAGGAGGTGGCGGGACACCACCGTGCCAGGCTAGGTGCACCGCGAGGCCGTCACGTGCGGTGTGGAAAGCTCTCGCTTGCTGGCAGGAGGAGGTCACGTGACAGACCCAGGTGCCATGTGTTGACTGACTGAGACGACCGGCAGATGCACCACCTGTGTCTCCGCACTGTGCCAGGCTAGGTGCATGAGGTCACGGGACAGACCCAGGTGCCTTGTGTTGACTGACTGAGATGACCGGGCAGATGCACCACCTATGTCTCCTACTGTGCCAGGCTAGGTGCATGAGGTCACGGGACAGACCCAGGTGCCATGTGTTGACTGACTGAGATGACCGGCAGATGCACCACCTGTGCCTCCGCACTGTGCCAGGTTAGGTGCATGAGGTCACGGGACAGACCCAGGTGCCTTGTGTTGACTGACTGAGATGACCGGGCAGATGCACCATCTGTGTCTCCGCACTGTGCCAGGCTAGGTGCAGAAGGTCACGTGACAGACCCAGGTGCCATGTGTTGACTGACTGAGATGACCGGGCAGATGCACCATCTGTGTCTCCTACTGTGTCAGGCTAGGTGCATGAGGCCACGTGACAGACCCAGGTGCCTTGTGTTGACTGACTAAGATAACCGGCAGATGCACCATCTGTCTCCCACTGTGTCAGGCTAGGTGCAGGAGGTCACGTGACAGACCCAGGTGCCTTGTGTTGACTGACTAAGATAACCGGCAGATGCACCATCTGTCTCCCACTGTGTCAGGTTAGGTGCAGGAGGTCACGTGACAGACCCAGGTGCCTTGTGTTGACTGACTGAGATGACCGGGCAGATACACCACCTGCGTCTCCTACTGTGCCAGGCTAGGTACAGGAGGTCACGTGACAGACCCAAGGACATCACATGATCAGTACCGGCTTTCCGTGTTTGTCTCTCCGCTATTAACATGTACAGTGTTTGTTTGACAGATCCCATCAGCCACACGGTATTCTAGGAGTACGTACTATTTTAAGAATCACAGAAAGGAAATTTGTTTATAAACGTTAAAAAATAACCGCCACTTTTTTCAAAATTTCTTGCTTGTGGTTTTCACACCTGATGATGATTGCTTGTGTTGCAGTCGAAATGTCGTGACAATTTTATTGTTTTATATTTTTATTATTTTATTGTTTCCCTTCTACGTGGTGACTTTACCGAAAGAATAAAGAATATAAAACTCCTGGCAGTTCCACCAGCATTGGTTACAAGCAATGCCTGGCCCTGCTGATGAGACAGTGAATGTTGAAACCAGTCCAGAGTTTTTGCTTGTGATGAACCGATGGTTAGAAGCGATGCCTGGCCCTGCTGATGAGACAGTAAATGTTGAAACCGGTCCAGAGTTTTTGCTTGTGACGAACCGATGGTTACAAGCAATACCTGGCCCTGCTGATGAGACAGTGAATGTTGAAACCGGTCCAGAGTTTTTGCTTGTGATGAACCGATGGTTCCAGCAATGCCTGGCCCTGCTGATGAGACAGTGAATGTTGAAACCGGTCCAGAGTTTTTGCTTGTGACGAACCGATGGTTACAAGCAATACCTGGCCCTGCTGATGAGACAGTGAATGTTGAAACCGGTCCAGAGTTTTTGCTTGTGATGAACCGATGGTTCCAGCAAAGCCTGGCCCTGCTGATGAGACAGTGAATGTTGAAACCGGTCCAGAGTTTTTGCTTGTGACGAACCAATGGTTCCATCAATGCCTGGCCCTGCTGATGAGACAGTGAATGTTGAAACCGGTCCAGAGTTTTTGCTTGTGATTAACCGATGGTTCCAGCAATGCCTGGCCCTGCTGATGAGACAGTGAATGTTGAAACCGGTCCAGAGTTTTTGCTTGTGACGAACCGATGGTTCCAGCAAAGCCTGGCCCTGCTGATGAGACAGTGAATGTAGAAACCAGTCCCTGTGCTTTTGCTCGTGTGTTAAAACAAATGTGCAGTTTACAAGATGCGCTCACAGAAGGCGGTGCACATCGCTGATGGGACGTGCAAAAAAAGCTACGGAATCATTAATTATTTATTAAACATATATTTTTTAAGTCGACAGAGAGAGAGACAAACACGGAAAGGGGAGACGAGGATCGTCATAGGGGGGAGTGGGACTGGACGACTCCCCCAGCCCCCCCCCACAGCCCCCCCTCCCCCCACCACCTCCCACTCAGAAGCCAAAATAAAAAATAATTCGGTGACACCGCTCAGAGAGTGGGGTAGTAGATGGTCGTGTTTCCCAGGCGCCAACAAACAACACCCCCCCCCCCCCTTCGCGTGCTTCCACGGCCGAATGGTAGAGTCCGAGTGTTGGGGGTGAGGTGGGGGCGCGAGACGGTGGTGGTGGGGGGGTGAGAGGGAGTAGTGGACTCGTCCCATTCATTTGCATGGCGAGCAGAGCTAACGGATCGTGTTTCTCGCTCTCATCCTCCTCCTCCTCCATCTCTCTTCTCCTCCTCCTCCCTCTGACTCCTCCGATCTCTCTCCTCCTCTCCCTCCTCCTCTCTCCCTTCTTCGCTGCGTCTGCAGCGGCGGCAGCGGCAGCAGTAGCAGCGGTGGCTGGAGACGGACGCGCGGAGTGATTAGCATCGCGGCGGCCTCTGTTAGCGCTGTGGTCTCTAACGGGAGATCGAGGGAGCACACCGAGAGAGACACAGACAGAGAGACAGAGAGAGAGACAGAGACAGACAGGCAGAGAGACAGACAGAGAGAGACAGACAGACAGAGAGAGAGACAGACAGAGAGACAGAGACACAGAGAGACAGAGACAGACAGAGAGAGACAGACAGACACAGGCAGACAGAGAGAGACAGACAGAGACAGACAGAGAGACAGAGAGAGAGACAGAGACAGACAGAGAGACAGAGAGATAGAGAGACAGACAGAGACAGAGAAACAGAGAGAGACAGACAGAGAGACAGAGACAGACAGACAGAGGGACAGACAGAGAGACAGAGACAGACATAGAGACAGACAGATAGACAGACGTAGAGATAGACAGAGACAGACAGAGAGACAGAGACAGACAGAGAGACAGACAGGGAGACAGACAGACAGAGAGACAGAGAGACAGACAGAGAGAGACAGACAGAGAGACAGACAGGGAGACAGAGAGAGACAGACAGACAGGGATACAGAGAGAGACAGACAGAGAGACAGACAGACAGATAGACAGAGAGACAGACAGACAGAGACAGACAGAGACAGACAGGGAGACAGAGAGACAGGGAGACAGTGAGACAGACAGAGAGACAGACAGACAAAGAGACAGACAGAGAGACAGAGAGACAGAGGCGAACGCAGTGGGGTCATTGTTACAGCGCTGTGATTTTAACATCACCTCCACCCCCCTCCATCTCCTCTTTAGCTCTCCCCCACCCCCCTCTCTCTCTCTCTCCATCGCCCCCGATTCCTCCCTTCGTCTCCATCTTCCCGCGCGCTCTCCTCCATCTCGCCGGCTCGCTCTTCCACCTCTTCCACCTCTTCCACTCTCTCTCTGTGGGTTCCTCTACCCAGTGGCGTCCATATCCACTCTGTCCGCTCCACATCTCCCCTTGCATCTCTCCCATCTCCCCTCCATCGTCCTCGTCGTCTCTCGCCCTCTATACAATCTCTCTGCTCTCCCATCTCTCCCCTCCATCTCTCTCTGCTCTCCGCGCGCGCTCTCTCCTCCATCTATCTCTCTCCCCTCCATCTCTCTCCGCTCTCTCCTCCATCTCTCATCTCTCTCCTCCATTTCTCTCCGCTCTCTCCTCCATCTCTCCTCTTCCCCCTCCATCTCTCTCTTCGCTCTCTCCTCCATCTCTCTCACTCTCTGCTCCATCTCTCCGCTCTCCCCTCCATCTCTCCCCCTCCCCTCTCTCCACCATCTCCCCTCTCTCTCTTCTCTCCCCCCCTCTCTCTTCTCTCTCAGCTCTCTCCACCATCTCCCCCCCCCCCTCTCTCTTTTCTCTTCACCATCTCCCCCCTCTCTCTTCACCATCTCCCCCCTCTCTCTCCACCATCTCCCCCCCCCCCCCCTCTCTCTCTTCTCTCTCCACTCTCTCTCTTCTCTCTCCGCTCTCTCCACCATCTCTCCCCCCTCTCCCCACCATCTCCCCCCCTCTCTCTCTTCTCTCCCCCCTCTCTCCACCATCTCTCCACCATCTCCCCCCCTCTCTCTCTTCTCTCTCCGCTCTCTCTTCTCTGGTCGCCATGGCGCTGTTGTCTCGTGGACTCGCTGCTACCGCTGCCTTCATCGGAGTCATCTGGCTCGCACAGAAAGGTGAGCACACACACACGTACACACACACGGGTACACACACACACACGTACACACACACGCGTACACACACACACGCGTACACGTACACACACGTACACGTACACACACACGTACACACACACACGGGTACACGTACACACACACACGCGTACACGTACACACACACACACGCGTACACGTACACACACACACGCTTACACGTACACACACACACGCGTACACGTACACACACACACGCGTACACGTACACACACACACGCGTACACGTACACACACACACACGCGTACACACACACACACGCGTACACACACACACGCGTACACACACACACGCGTACACACACACACGCGTACACACACACACATTTACACACACACATTTATACACACACATTTATACACACACATTTATACACACACTAGCGCGTACACACACACGTACATATACACGTACACACACGTACACACACACACACATTTACACACACACACATTTACACACACACATTTACACACACGCGTACACACACGCGTACACACACACATTTACACACACGCGTACACACACACGCGTACACACACACGCGTACACACACACACGTACACACATACATACACACACGTGCACGTACATACAGAGACAAAGATCCCCCATATAGTCTTGACAGACTGTTGGGGCAAGTGCTGTTAGCGAGCACCTATGAAGGCCGGCACGGCACACGAGGGGGTGGGTGGCCAGCACCACGCCCGGCCGCCTTTGTCTCCCCAGTGACGATGTTTACCACACAGCTACACCAGGCTTACTCGTTTGAAGCTGTTCGTGTGTACATCCATACACACACAAGACTGTGCACATCAAGTACACACACACACACCATTGCATCACGTACACACACACGCGCGTGTGTGTGCGTGATGCATTGGTGTGTGTGTGTCAATGCGTGTGTGTGTCAGTGCGTGTGTGTGTGTCAATGTGTGTGTGTCAATGCGCGTGTGTCAATGCGTGTGTGTGTCAGTGCGTGTGTGTGTGTCAATGTGTGTGTGTCAATGCGTGTGTGTCAATGCGTGTGTGTGTCAGTGCGTGTGTGTGTGTCAATGTGTGTGTGTCAATGCGTGTGTGTGTCAGTGCGTGTGTGTGTGTCAGTGCGTGTGTGTGTGTCAATGCGTGTGTGTCAATGCGTGTGTGTGTCAGTGCGTGTGTGTGTGTGTCAATGTGTGTGTGTCAATGCGTGTGTGTCAATGCGTGTGTGTGTCAGTGCGTGTGTGTGTGTGTCAATGTGTGTGTGTCAATGCGTGTGTGTCAATGCGTGTGTGTGTCAGTGCGTGTGTGTGTGTCAATGTGTGTGTGTCAATGCGTGTGTCAATGCGTGTGTGTGTCAGTGCGTGTGTGTGTGTGTCAATGTGTGTGTGTCAATGCGTGTGTGTCAATGCGTGTGTGTCAATGCGTGTGTGTGTCAGTGCGTGTGTGTGTGTGTCAATGTGTGTGTGTCAATGCGTGTGTGTCAGTGTGTGTGTCAATGCGTGTGTGTGTGTGTCAATGTGTGTGTGTGTCAATGCGTGTGTGTCAGTGTGTGTGTCAATGCGTGTGTGTCAATGCCTCAGCGTGCACCTAGCCTGGCACCACCCCCCCCCCCCCGGTAGCCTCAGCGTGCACCTAGCCTGGCACCACCCCCCCCCCCCCGGTAGCCTCAGCGTGCACCTAGCCTGGCACCACCCCCCCCCCCCCCGGTAGCCTCAGCGTGCACCTAGCCTGGCACCAAGAATTGGGCGGCGGTTGTGGTGGTTGTTATGGTGGTTGTTGTTGTGGTTATGGTGGTTGTTGTTGTGGTTGTTGTTGTTGTGGTGGTTGTGGTGGTTGTTGTTGTGGTGGTTGTGGTTGTTGTGGTGGTGGTTGTTGTGGTGGTTGTTGTTGTGGTGGTTGTGATTGTTGTGGTGGTGGAGGTTGTTGTTGTGGTGGTTGTGGTGGTTGTTGTGGTGGTTATGGTGGTTGTGGTTGTTGTTGTGGTGGTTGTGATTGTTGTTGTGGTTGTTGTTGTGGTGGTTGTGGTGGTTGTTGTTGTGGTGGTTGTGGTTGTTGTGGTGGTGGTTGTTGTGGTGGTTGTTGTGGTGGTTATGGTGGTTGTTGTTGTGGTTGTTGTTGTTGTGGTTGTTGTTGTGGTGGTTGTTGTGGTTGTTGTTGTGGTTATGGTGGTTGTTGTTGTGGTTGTTGTTGTGGTGGTTGTGGTGGTTGTTGTTGTGGTTATGGTGGTTGTTGTTGTGGTTGTTGTTGTTGTGGTGGTTGTGGTGGTGGTTGTGGTGGTTGTGGTGGTTGTTGTTGTGGTGGTTGTGGTTGTTGTGGTGGTGGAGGTTGTTGTTGTGGTGGTTGTGGTGGTTGTTGTGGTGGTTGTGGTTGTGGTTGTTGTTGTGGTGGTTGTGATGGTTGTTGTGGTGGTTGTTGTGGTGGTGGTTGTTGTGGTGGTTGTTGTGGTGGTTGTTGTTGTGGTGGTGGTTGTTGTTGTGGTGGTGGTTGTGGTGGTGGTTGTGGTTGTTGTGGTGGTTGTTGTGGTGGTTGTTGTGGTTGTTGTGGTGGTTGTTGTGGTGGTGGTTGTTGTGGTGGTTGTGGTAGTGGTTGTTGTGGTGGTGGTGGTTGTTGTGGTGGTTGTGGTTGTTGTGGTGGTTGTTGTGGTTGTTGTGGTTGTTGTGGTGGTGGTTGTTGTGGTGGTTGTTGTTGTGGTTGTTGTGATGGTTGTGGTTGTTGTGGTGGTTGTTGTGGTGGTTGTGGTTGTTGTGGTGGTTGTGGTTGTTGTGTATCGATATGCAAGTGGCGATGTCCGCGTGTATCCCTGCTGCGCACACGGTGTGTGTGTGTCGATATCAATATCGATATACACACACAACGTTGTGTGTGTGTGTATATCGATATTGATACACACACAACGTTGTGTGTATGTGTATCGATATTGATACACACACACACACACACGTTGTGTGTGTGTGTGTGTATCAAGATAGACACACAACGTTGTGTGTATATCGATACACATACACACAACGTTGTGTGTATGTGTATCGATATCTACGACGCTGATACGTCGATCAGCGGTGTTTCTTTGTGTGTGGTGGTGGTGGTGGGGAGCGGTGGTGCAGTGGTTAGCGCTACGCTGCGCTACGAACCTGGCGACCCGGGTTCGATTCTCGCTCACGGTCCCAACACCAGTGACGATTATCTGAACCGGTCCTGGGCCTCCGCTAGGTCGACTCAGCCTCAAATGAGTACCTGGTGTAGCGATGTGGTGGAAACATCGCCACTGGGGAGACAAAGGCGGCCGGGCGTGGTGCTGGCCACCCACCCCCTCGTGTGCCACCGTGCCGGCCTTCGTAGGTGCTCGCTAGCAGCACTTGCCCCTACAGTCTGTTAAGGCTACACGGGGGATCTTTGTCTTTTTTTGGGTGCGGTGGTTGCGTAACGCTGCGTGGAAGCTACCTGGCTACCTGCTCTGTCGCTCCGCACGAAGCTTCAGCGTGCACCTAGCCTGGCACCAAGCGCCACGGTCTTACGCCCCCCCCCTCCTCACTCCTCATCACTTCTCTACGCTTGCGAAACCTCTTCCAGGCCGGCAATGTTCCGAGCGAAACGTCGTCCATTATCTCTAACCATCTTCGCCGGTTCGAAACGTTCAGGGGCTGGACCCAGCCGCAGTGCCGGATTATTAATTATCCTTGTTGCGAAAGTAGCTACACAAGTAGCTACATCATCTGTAGCAGCTGCTACAGATGATGTAGCTACAGCTGCTACAGATGATGTAGTAGCTACTACAGATGTAGTACAACAGATGTAGTAGCTGCTACAGATGTAGTAGCTACTACAGATGTAGTACAACAGATGTAGTAGCTGCTACAGATGTAGTAGCTACTACAGATGTAGTACAACAGATGTAGTAGCTACTACAGATGTAGTAGCTACTACAGATGTAGCAGCTACTACAGATGTAGCAGCTACTACAGATGTAGCAGCTACTACAGATGTAGCAGCTACTACAGATGTAGCAGCTACTACAGATGTAGCAGCTACTACAGATGTAGCAGCTACTACATATGTAGTACTACATATATAGCAGCTGCTACATCTGTAGCATCTGTAGCAGCTACTACAGATGTAGCTGCTACAGTCAGGGAAAAAAGTATTTGATCCCTTGCTGATTTTGTACGTTTGCCCACTGACAAAGAAATGATCAGTCTATGATTTTAATGGTAGGTTTATTTGAACAGTGAGAGACAGAATAACAAAAAGAAAATCCAGAAAAACGCATGTCAAAAATTTTATAAATTGATTTGCATTTTAATGAAGGAAATAAGTATTTGACCCCCTCTCAATCAGAAAGATTTCTGGCTCCCAGGTGTCTTTTATACAGGTAACAAGCTGAGATTAGGAGCACACTCTTAAAGGGAGTGCTCCTAATCTCAGCTTGTTACCTGTATAAAAGACACCTGTCCACAGAAGCAATCAATCAATCAGATTCCAAACTCTCCACCATGGCCAAGACCAAAGAACTCTCCAAGGATGTCAGGGACAAGATTGTAGACCTACACAAGGCTGGAATGGGCTACAAGACCATTGCCAAGCAGCTTGGTGAGAAGGTGACAACAGTTGGTGCGATTATTCGCAAATGAAAGAAACACAAAAGAACTGTCAATCTCCCTCGGCCTGGGGCTCCATGCAAGATCTCACCTCGTGGAGTTGCAATGATCATGAGAACGGTGAGGAATCAGCCCAGAACTACACGGGAGGATCTTGTCAATGATCTCAATGCAGCTGGGACCATAGTCACCAAGAAAACAATTGGTAACACACTACGCCGTGAAGGACTGAAATCCTCCAGCGCCCGCAAGGTCCCCCTACTCAAGAAAGCACATATACATGCCCGTCTGAAGTTTGCCAATGAACACCTGAATGATTCAGAGGACAACTGGGTGAAGGTGTTGTGGTCAGATGAGACCAAAATGGAGCTCTTTGGCATCAA